GGGCCTTCCGCGAGCTGCTGGAGGCCTGCCGCAATGGGGACGTGACGCGCGTGAAGCGCCTGGTGGACACGGGCAACGTCAACGCCAAGGACATGGCGGGCCGCAAGTCCACGCCGCTCCACTTCGCCGCCGGTGGGTACCGGGACCGGGGAGGGGCCGGGGCCGGGCCGGGCCGGCCTCCCGTTGCCGGCGAGGGCAGTGACAGGCAGCGCGTCGGGACAGGGAGGGTGCAGCTCCCGGCCCGGCTTCCCAGGAGTCGCTTCTCTGGCTGCGGGGAGCGGACCTCTGGCGTCCCGGTGGCTCGGGAGAAGTCTGGTGTAAGCCGAGAGGAGGAGTGTGAGGCTTTCGCTGCAGATTGTGGGGAGACGACTGTTAAATCTCCTTTTTTCCCCTCATAAAGTGGAAGGAGATCCTTCCTTTGGGTGAAACGAGTGGGAGAGGAGATTCCGGAGGCGCAAGAGAGGCTGTGGGATCTAAAAGTACAGACACTTTTCCCTGTATTTGACACATAGGCTGCAGACTTGTGCACGTGTGCTTAGGAAGTGAGAAACTGGAATTCAGGACAGAGTTGGCTTGAAGTTAAGGGTTTCACAAGTATTGTAGTAGCTCTTGAAAGTTAGGGACCTCTGTGATGCATGTAGACTTGATAGGAATCAAAGTCTTGATTCCTTGTACTTTGTAACTTTTTTCTTTTATCTGAGCATAGCTGCTGATTGATTTCTGCATTTCTTGTCGTCTGAGTGGGCTGGGGAAAGAGATGAAGTGGAACAACTGAACTTGATAGAAGTTACATGTGTCCAGGAGAGAAAGTCCCTCTTAGTAGAGAGAAGAGACGTCATTGTGTCAGAAATAATATCATAAAAGCAGTTAACAGTGAGGTCCAACAGTTTACATTAACTGGAAGTAACCGTTACCTTCTAGGAAGTATAGCTATTATAGGTTTAGTGTAGTCCATAAAGAGAACGTTTTGTACAGGGCATCGTCTTCACTGGGGGCACAGTGCACATCAAGTTCATAATAAAAGTAAAATGAGGAGGATGTTTTAAATCATCATTCCTCACTTGGAACTTGCACGATTGCTGTGGTCAGGCTGAGGGCTTTCTGACGTGTGCCGCAGTGTTACGGGACTGGACCTTATGTAGTAAGGGACATAGGTCTTGTCTGAGATTTAAGTGGTGCACTAGTACACATAAGATAATTAACAAGACTGTATTAAGTGGTCAATATTAAAATGCTGGCATATGGCTTTAAAGCACCGTGTTGAAATTAATAATAAAAATGAACGTTTTACGGCACAATGTTGCCTGGAACTCTGAATAGCAGTGTTCAGTTTATCAGTCAGATAATACTCTCTGAGACTGTATGGGTTTGTTTTCATTTTCAAAGTACAGGTGGCATTTCATCATGGCCCTAAGGGAGCTTTTGGTCCTCAACCATTTCCTTTTCATTCTTTCCTGATCCCTGAGGTCTACCAGTGAAGCACAATCTTATGCAAGCAGAGTTTAAAACACAGTGAACTTCGGGAGTACAGACTTAATTTTAGTGAACCCTGGAACATAATGCTGGTACAACTGCATGTGTGTGCATGAAGTTCTTAATGTTTTGGAAGGTTCATCTTGAGTCTGCTCTGCTTGTTTTGGATTCAGACTTAAAATCAGACCTTGCTGCTTCCCCGTAAACTCTGAAATCTCCAGTTGTAACTTCAGTGCTAGTGCAAACTTCAGTGCTGAAGCTGCAGTGGTAACTTCTGCTTTGATTAGAGAAGGAATGGACAAAACTTACTTAAGGGGATAAGGCTTTGAAAGTTGATAGTGTCAATAAGATGTTACTGTAATAGCAATGGAAGGTGCTGCCTTGTAGCATGAGGAAAACAGCAGATGAAGTTCTCGTGCCGAACAAATTCCTGTATCTGTTTTTCTAGATTTAAAGACTTTCCTTAGCTATCATACATATTTTATCTCTAATCACTGCAGTATGTCTGGTCTAAATGGATATGACATGTAATAGCATTAGGCAGATTTCTTATTACAGAGATCTTGGGGTCCTGCATTTTGGAAAGGCCTGTAAGCACGTTGTTTGAATGCAACTGATCTTAGGCAGTATATATCTGCCAGTGATGCAATGTGTTGATTTATCTCCTCCTTTGTGGGCAAAAGGAGAAATAAAACTTGTTTGCTTCTGAGCATGGGAGTCTGCTGTGTATATGAAGCTGTGTTATGGATAATAGCTCGTTTTATGAGCCATACCTAGGCGTGAGTTGTGTGGCTTTCACTAGGGGAACGGGAGTTGGAGAGTGCAATATGCAATGTTTTACACTGCTGCTTTCAAACCTCTTGAAGCTAAACTCTTAAATGACCAGAGAGAGAGAGAGTTCCACTTCTGATCTTGTGGCTTGTGATAGACGAATTCTTCTTCTAATTTTTTCTTCACTTCCCAGTTTTGGGGGTAGCTGGATTCTCCCCCCGTCCCCAGGGACTTGACTTGTTCCTAGCTCAGTGTGGTTTTCTCAGATGTCCTTTTTGGCAACAGTGCCAGGCAGTTAAGTTACTTTTACTGTAATAGGGAAGGACAACTTCCCTGGTTCTAGTTACTTGTAAAAAGCACTAAGTTCAGGTTTCCTTCAGCTTTGTGAGGTTTCTAGTTTCAAAATCACCTTCATCTCCTTTCTCATGGCAGAAGGAAGATAAAAGGGGTGACTTCTGTCTGAGAGCATTCAGCATCCTTAGCAGCTACGTAAGCTGGGGATAAGGTGAGCACTGAAATATCTATAATCAATTATTTAAAAAGCTGGGGATATATCTAAATCTGTTTCTAGAAGTTGGAGTCATCTGTCCATTATTCGCTTCCAGATAAAATGTGCACAGCTACATCAAGTTGAAGCAACAGTCTTATCCAGGTTTTCTTTATCTGGGATATCTGAATTGTCAATTGATCTGAATGAAGGGAAATTGGTTCTTTAACTCTGTGGTGAAATGCCAGCTAGTGTGCTGAATAAATCTGACTTGCTTTGGTTAGCTATTAATAGGGCAGAAATTAATACTGAGGCCATATCAGGGTGATAGAGACCTCTCTTGTCAAGGAGGAAGAGGCTGAACAAAGGATCATTTTCCTTTCATCCTCTGACTGGACTGTTATTCTAGCAGAGCCTCTCTTGAAATTCTGAATGTCTTTCAGCATGTGTGGTGTTCAGCTTTTCCTTTGCAAGTGATTTGAGTGATTCTTCTATAAAGGTATGCATGCTTGGAAAGAGGAAAACTCAGTAGTGTCTCAACTGCTCTGTGGATTGCGGGATATTTGGGTCTCTGATACTAGTGCAGGCTTTGGATATTGTCCAGCAGCACCTGAGAATTAGAGTAAGAAGCAGATTCTAAAGACTTGAAAGTGATTGAGTGGCTTTAAAATGCAAAAAGAAATTAAGTGGAGGTATTAATGTATTCATAGCTTTTGCATTCAGTTTTTTTAATGAAAGCTAGCTTGCTTATAACTAAAAAAAAAAAAAAAAAACAAACCAAAAACCAAAAAAACCCCAAAAGCAACTGTGCTAGGCACGAACAAAGGTATGTTTGGCCCAAAGTTTTATCCGTACTGGTGGCCAAAAGCAGATGTCTAAGGAAGAGTTATACACTTGCCCTCTTCATATATGATACTTCTCTGAATACTCTTCCTGCAGTTTGTAGCTCAGCAACTGTTTGAGCAAGAACCAGTTTCTACATGTTAGTAGAAGCCTATCCTGTGGTAAGGAGTTCCACTGAATAATTGGACTGACTGTGTTCACACAGTCTATGTGATAATGTGTCACATTTTAGGTATACTTTGCGTGGGGTAGAGTGGGATTTTACTCAGCCTACATATCTTCTGTGAATCATTATGTGGTTTACGGGGGAGTGTGTGTGTGCCTGTATTGGTCCATTGTGTTTGAAGCAGGTTGGCAGTGATGCTTTCACGCCTCTTTTTTTGTGTGTCATCCTCCATTTATAGCACTCGCATACCAAGGTTGGCTTTCCAAGACTTTTTTGCCTTTAATATGCCTAGATGGGGAGGACTCCTGTGACATTTTGTCTGAAAACCCAGCTTTTTCCCAGAGCCAGCAAGAATTTGTAGGAACCGGCTTGGTAATGGACTTGCTTCTTCCCTTCTGAAACAGGGTTTAGCCTTACAAAAGGATATATATGTATTTGCTGCTGACACCTTGATTCATATGTTTTTAGGCCTAGTCCTTGCTGGTAAATCACTAGTAATAGCACCTCTTTCAGAAATGACTAGGTGGAAGCTGAGTCCTAGCTAATTTCTTCATATAGCCACAGTTGTGAGCTTGTCCAGTTCCACACCCATTTAATGAGAAGTTTAACTTTTTTTTTTTATCATGAAGTTAGCCCCTCAAGTTCTTGGGTAATGCATTCTTTTACCTTTACAGTTATTGTCTTTCTAGGGTTTAACCCAAGGATATAGAGAGTACTAATAGTAATTGCTGAACTGTGGCTTAATGCCCACTTCTGTACTGAGGAAGAGGTAGAGATTTCCAGAGTGGCTTTTGGAAGGTATGGAGTTGTGATCACAGGGTGAAGTGCTCTTGGTGGTATCAGCCCAAACTCGGGCCTGGAGAAACCTGATATAAGGTGAATTCTTAGAGCATCAGTGATATTCCTTGTTTTCTGTCTGCTTGGGTCTACAGTAATGGCAAAAGGCTGTTTGGGGAAAGTAGTTTTCTGTAAGCATGCTTTTCATATCACTAGTAATAACTGTTGGAAGTTAAATCTTTTTATGAAGGCTCACATGTATAACTATTCTTTGAAAAATTTCTGGAGTACACAACTTTAGTCCTGAAGGCAAAGGGATCTCACTTGGGTTGGAAAATAGTCAGTGGTCAGAGTTTAAGAATAGAGCTCATCAAGTTGATTTGTCACTAGCAAGCTGTTAATCATAAAAATGCAAGCTGCTTCAACATGTGTAAGTGAGATAAGCAACTGAGGAGGCAGAACTAACATAACTAGCTACTGAGTGTTCCTTGAGGGAGAGCCAGGAAACAGCAAGAAGTAGTTGGTAACTTATTACACGCTTCTGCTCTGTGCAGAGTGAATTGACCACTCCACCTGTGATGCAAGGTACAACAGGTTAGCTTAAATTGTCCTGGA